ATGGACATTTAGGACAGGACCCACCCCGCCTTCCTCAACCCGACACTTCGGACTACACCCGACAACCCACAGACAAACTCTCACACCCAAAGAAAAACACCCCCGCCCCCCGCCGCCCCCAGACGCGCACTTACGTATAACGCCCCCATCACTGTTGTTTTCCCTACCACCTCTGTCCGCCAAAAGCCCCATCAACCAAGTACCGCCAGGATCCAAGAGCACGATGAAAGGTCAGCCCAATTCGCTTCCCGTTTTAGCATCCTAGAAATAAGAGCTCTCCCCTCGTGATCGATGGCGACATTGACTCCTCGCCCAACCGGAGGGTACGGCTAAACAGTGTAGAGGAGGTAAAACAGCGTAATAGGATAACTGATGGTGGAATTAACTCACCAAAGACGGGAATCAACCTCGAAACGGGGACAGCATGCCACCGGACGAGAGGGTTGCGACATGCGATGAACGGAGCGCTCAAAGCCAAACTGATGCACACATTAAACGAAGTGCACTCTTGTTCGGTTTGATAGAATTTTATAATACAATTAAATAGCTACATTCCACTTAGGTTACTTTTGGTAGGACTGTTTTGAATGTTTTCCGACTCATTTCTCTGTTGGAGAATGGGTCGGTGCTCCAGTGCGGGTTGTTCCATTGCTCCTTTGGCATGGCGTCCCTATCTCTCCTTTTTCATCTATTTGCAAGTTACTCTCTAGTAAAACCTCTAATCTGTGTTTTCTCCGCCCCAATTGAAACAGTCTATGTGAACTATCTAACCACCAATTATAATATACAATGTAATATTTGTAAAATAACTCATAACAATGATAAGAACAGGACTACAAAAATATATGTGAGTCAATGTGGTGGAATCAGGCTCTCGTCAAAATAACCAAAGTGCAGAAATCTCCTTTTTCCACAGGTTTGTGAATTTCTATCAATTTTTTATTTTTTGACTCAACACCTTTCATGCCCATTTAAGAACTCAGTTGTGTGTGGATTGTCTGACAAACGTTGATAAAAGGCACCAAAAATGTAAATGTTCATTTGCCACAGGCTCTAAAGCTTAGAAAATACCTCATCTTTGGGGCCATTTTCTCACTAATTTTACTTCTGAAAACAGGTGAGGCCCACCTCCTTCAATTGCAAATATCTCGACTTGTATTCAAGATAAATGGATATTTTTTTCATCCAAATAAAGATTTGTGAACAAGCTTTAAGATGATACCAAAAACTCTACATGCCCAAAAATTGACGAGAGCCTGATTTCCCCACGCTGCCTCACATATTGTAACAATATCAATAGCAAGTACAATAACAGTACACAAGCTAATAATGATAATTAGAGCAAAAA